TATAAGTATTATGATATAAGAGAAATTGTTGCCATAAATTTTACACATTTTAAGTTAAACAGTTTTAAACGTATATCATATTTTAGCTGTAAAGTTACTAATGGGAAGAATGCTGTCTTTAATTATAAATGAATACTTGATGTCTGAAGTTACTAGATACAAAACATCAGCGTTTAAAGATGTGTAAACGTAAGTACTGCTGGAGTGAATTGTAAACATTTTCTTAACAGATATAAGGTAAACGTTCAACAATCTAGACCACACGAAAGCCATTTTAAAATGTTGAAAAATATCCTGCTTTAAACATAAAGATGTTCCGTTTGATACTTGATGTGCTCTTTATAAACAAATAAACTCGCCATCTTTTCAGTAATTATTTCAGATATACACAAATTAGAGCATTTCCTCGAGCTTAAAAAGATTAAACGAATGTATAAAGTTATCGTTATCATCACAAAGCCTCGGAGATACACCGACTTTTGTTTATTTTGACTTTTCTCTATCCATGGAATTGAAAATTGTAAACAAAACCTTACATACAAACTTTTTATTATGTCTTTATGTTTGTTCAGCATTAAGGAGAGATTATAAAATAATTAAAATATCCCAAGAATCTCATTTTTTGCACCAACAGAAATGTCATTGAGTTCCTGATTGCATTTAAATTTAGTTATTATAAGTTATAAAATAGATTTTTTTCTAGTATAATATACATGTAGAAGTAAGATCTACAAAACTATATTTTGATAATTTTGATGCTATTAATTCTATTAAAACTGTAAAATTATATTTGTATCAAGCAAGGTACTCATTAAAATTCATTTATTCAACGAATGAAAAATCTAAAAAATACAGTTTTCTTCATGATATAATATCTCACAAGGAGTTATTTTGCAAATAAATATGACGAATAATATTTTTTCATTGAAGTGAATAAATTACATTATTCAATCTTTTCATTTCTAACTTGGATTATTATAGGGAAAGATTGGTTTTTTTAAATAAATCTTTAGACAGATTGTGAACTAGAACAGTAGGAGATTCACAGTCATTTATAAATGTTTTATCACCTTCACATAAAGCACAAATCTTCAATGATTGAATTTTCCCCAACTCCCTGATGCTTGTAACATATAGAAATGCAAATATTAATGGTAATATTTAATATTTTAAACAAGTCATGTGCGATGAATGAATAGAATTGCCGTTTCCAACTGTGACTTAGATAGACCGCCAGCAAACGGATAGGTTATTAGCCAAGGATGTCCTTTAAGTCATAAACCTTTAGTGTAAATTATAAATTCCCATTACGTGAGAATACAGTAAATTATAATCATGTAAGCTGGTATATTTTTATCCGACTGTCACAGTAACCATTATTATAACCGTGAACCTTCTAAATTTTTGTTAAGTGTTTGCCCCGCCGCTCTGAATTTGGAAAAGTTCATTGTTTTGGGTATTTCAATTTCAAAATACAGAAATGGAGCTACGAACGGTATATTATCTTTGATTGAATGGATGTGCAGGTTGGCACGAGGATATACTTATGACAGAGCAGCAGCTAGAATGTTGATTTCTTAATTAATGAAAAGACAAAAGATGTATCTGAAATAACTCATAATTTTATTGCATGGAGGTATAACCATTGCCCGAATACACCTGAAAAATGTACATCAAATCGTCCATATTGGAGTATATGTTCAATTCCAAATAACAAACAGTGTATACACTTAACATATTAAACAACCCTATCGCCTTTTTTGTTTTCTTGTTAGTTTTATTTTTTAAATACGTGGCAAATGTGTGTGTTTTTGAAAGTAAAATATGTTTGGTAACAAAAGTACAATATGTTTTAGCAACAACATACTACCTACAAAATGTTACCCCTTATCATCGATAAAAACAATCAGTTATGAAAATGCTACCTCACAAAGATAAGAATTTACTCCTTTAAGACAGCTTGATCAAGCGAATGAGTTCGCTGTCGAACAAACGGCTGTTGGACTTGCTTTTCTGTTCGGCTTCTCACTTTGGTTAACTTAGCGAGAAATGAACCATTTACTAATCCTCTATACTTCCAATGGAGAACCCAGCACGTTCTGTTTAATGAAAGCAACCACAAAACACAGCCTGTTTCATTTCATACATTTCTCTTTAAAAAGAAGTTTTAAGAAGTCGATATAATAATATAGCTAAAGCAAATATAAAGATAAATTCACTATTTTTTTCACTGATACTATGGTCTGAAGCTTATATTATTTAATATAAATATATATAAGCTTATTTAATAGTGTGATGATTTGGCTATGAAATAATTGACAGTTTAAGGCACACAGTATTGAACAAAGTGCAACCTATGACATAATTTCTCACATATAATTTTGAATGCCCTATATGTCCATTTAGGAGATGAATTCTGTAACATTTGTTTTTACCGTTCCCATTCTTCCACAACTTGCTATTCGAATTCTAACGTTGATTAATAAGTATACATTTATTTAAAAATATTTTGGAATTGATATGTTAAAGAAATGTTGAGAAAGTTTAAACATAGTAAAACCGGTTTTAATTTTTTTTAATTTACAGGATTCGTTTCTACAAAGTATGCTTAAACTCCATTTTGTAGTTATTGTTTAAGGCATTTAAATCAAGATTATGAATAGTAGCTAAATGTAAATGCACTAAGTTATAGCACTCATGTCATAAAAGTTTGAAATAAAAATCATTATTTACTAACTATGTTTAATTGTTGTTGTTTACGTATATATGTCCTGACTTGTCCACACTACTGAATTATCGTGACAAGTCGCTCTTTTCTTCACCAAGGTAAAGGTATGTTATACAGTAGGTTTTATGAATGAAACTACCAGCGAAATATCAAACCGTCCTTGGACATGCCTCACTTCCTATGAATGAAAGGTTTGTTACAACTCCCAAATAGCTGGGTGCATTGCAACATGATTATTCTCTACCCGCAAATTTCGTACAGTTCAAAACCATCTAATGGGTGGTTGACCTACGTAGGTGTTTGTTTTTCCGACAAGATGAGATGAGGGTATTGTATACTTATAAGATTATGAGAGCACTTTTAAAATTTCTTAAATGTATTTATAGATGGCAATACTGTAAACAAAGTAACAATCCGTTTTTAAAAAACTTAAATGTTTTGCTGGTTATTCAAGTGTAGAGTATAGGAAATACTTTTCAACTGTTAAAATATACTAGTATAGGTATATTAATTAACATAAAGAGGGTGCAATAATCAGTTATAAACGAACGTATTGGTAAATCAATTTAAATGCATGTACCAGTGCCTGTAGTCGAACTCGAAAAGTTAAAAAAACACAAGCTGACTTTGCGATTTAAAAGGTTTATATCGAAATGCCGACATGTTCAAGTTCAAAAGTACCAATATAGCCAATATTTAAAAGTTACTATTTGAAATAAATTATTGTTTTAAAAGCAACTTTTCCTGTCATTCTACGTACATGTATAAAATTATACCTAATATAAGATATTGGAAAGGAGCTTAGGGCTGCAACCAGGAAATGTTATTTTGTGACTGCACCTTTATTTGGTATAAAGAGGATCACATTGTCTCATTCTTGATACAAAAACCCTGTAATGCGTTAAACAATATATAGACACGTACAAATGACTCGATAAACGGACAGCATTTAATTAAAATCATTGCTAGAGCTGTTCGGAAACGTTTTATTCATGAACAGCAGACCTGTAGATAAAGATAAATACATTTATAATAGTTTAATAAAGAAATTTTGAAGCACAATATATCATTTAAAATGATATCTTACAGATATGTTTATTCTTCTTTATTTGGCAGCATTTTTATATAATTATGATTATGTTATGATATGATTATGTTATGCTCTTCGTCATCTTATCTCAGGTACAAACATTTTCTTGTGCCTTACTGTGGAAGTTGTGATAAAGTTCAGTTTTGTCTTATATTATTTCAAGTACATCTGAATCTATTTATAACGAAAGACTTAAAGATGATACTGAATGTGCCACTTACAGAAGCGAGAGCAACAAGTTAAGATAGCAACAACAATTTCCTGAATCATATCAGTAGTATATAACTGGTATGAGAGTTTATCGCTTGGCTTGACTGTATTATGTTTCATTTTATTTGTTGTTCTTTTTTTTTGTAAAATCCATTTTCAATTAAATAAATGAAGCTATAAACGTGGTTTATGCAACTCACTTTAATAAAACGTATTTTCTGCTGAATTCATGACAACACAAAAACACGCACGTTCATGTGAACAGAGAGACGGTCAAACAATGCAGATGTTTCACAAAAGTTGAGATTTGCTTATGACCTGCAGAAGATTCCTGGTAAAAATTTGATAATATGTTGCAGACTTACGATTAAATTTAAACAGTTTAGTCTCATCATCTTTACTATTGTATAATCATATCTTTAAGGTACGTTCCTTTTCAGTAACATGGCACAAAAATGATAGTGATCGAACCGCAGTCTCAATATGCAAATGTTCACCTTTGTTGATTTTTACCAGTTTAGTACATGTATGTCACCATAAAGGACTGCTGTAAAGTTGTAACAGTCATTATAACATTATCATATAATAACAATTTCGTAAATAATGAATTCCTGCAGCAAGAGGTAATTGAAGCTATGAAAAATAGTGATGCTTACATCATTGATTTATGGACTGAAAAAGCAACGATTAACCTTTAACCCACATATTTTCAGTAATGGATGTGTCCATCAATAAATTTGGAACAGTTCATGACAAGTTCTACGGATTTCAACATCAAAATACCAAAATCAAACTACCATCAATATAAAGATTGTTTGGACGGTCAGGCTCTCTCTCTCTCTATACCGGTGTTGACGGGTGATCAATTCCGGTTCCAGCAGGTTTCTCGCCCTATAACACCAGCAGCCAAAATGTTCGTCGGTCGAGGTATTGGTAATGCAAGGAACAATAGCAAAGCAAAAAAGTCAAAGGTAAATTTTAGAAATTTATTCTCCAGTGTTTACATATTTAAAGAGAAACTGCTAAAAGACTGTTAGACAGTCTCGATAAAATAAGGCTGAATAAAATAATAATTAGTCTCTCGGAAGTCCGTTTCTAGATTTAATTCGCAAACAATCCATTGATAATATATTACTAAAATAACTAATTTCTTGAGAGAAAAAAACATTGAAAAAGAACCGTTCAAATATTGTGAATAATTACGCAATGAGACTTGTTTTTGTGTGTGTTTTTTGTAACATAATTTAAACTTTTGCCTTTTTGTCTATTTTCTTAACGACAATACAAATATCATTGCAACAGATTCCAGCATTTTATGTACAACCCTAAACCATATTCCGAGACAGAAATTATTATTTTTTTCAACCTTTAGACATGACATACTAACATACAATATACATACACAGTTTAACAATCACTTAATAACAATGCAAAATATGATAATAATATAATATAATATATATAATATACTTGAAAGAGAAGATATATGCTTAATGTAGAAATGTGAGTTTGTGAAAAAAAGAAGAAGCAAATTAATTTTAAATATACGAAAATTAATTTACACAATAATGGAACACGATACTGAAAACATAAGGAACAATCTTCAGTTTAACCCAATCAATTTATGTCGCACCTTTTTTAATGGCTAAATTGCTGAATAAAAAGTGCAAGATTAAATATACTCCCGGCGATAGCTGGACCTAACTAATAGTACTACATTAAAAATGCACATTCTATGCATAACCTTAATGTAAAGTGCAAGCAATTGTATTAAGTTTCAATTAGTGAATATGTAAAAACAAAATGTTCATTTTCTTCTGTTGAAATGTCAATTCAATATAAGATTTTCTAAAGACAAAAAAGGTAGATCAAAATAAGTCTGTATAAGAAAGTACAAATTTGCATTTATTCTACTATATATTTGCGTAAAATTTTTTCTATTAAAACCAAAATCTCTAGGAAAGTAGGTACTAACATAAAATTGGAATGTTTTCTGTCTCATTAAAGTTATCTAAATTTGTTTTAAGGTTGTAATTATTTTTTTATAGTTTCAAATTAAACTATGCCAAATAACACTTATAAAGTGTTGCCTTATTTTCCTTATGAAAAACTTCTTAATTAAAACAATAGAGTGACGAAAAGAAAGTGTTTAAAACAGTGGAATCTACCCTGTCACATTTGATTGCAGACTAGATAATTTGGATAAAAATGAATCAAACAAGAAATTCAAAATGAAATAATGGATACCGTTTTGAAAGAAAAATATGAACAATAATTATACATAAATATGTACCAAATAATGGATTGCTAGGTGAATAGAACAAACAGATGAATTACCTGAGAAGTAAGAAAACTAAATATTGACATGTCCATAAAAAGAACTGTCTTGAAACTATTTAACCGGTAAAAACTATTTCCATATTTATCTTTTTGTTTCTAATTTATTTTATTTTTTATAACAAAAAGTGTAATTTACAGAACCCTGCACATTGCGCCGACATTAACGACATTAAATATTCATGAAATGGTAATCAATTTACCTATTAGTGTCTGCCTAATATGTAAGTTTATGTTACTATTTGTAATATTGGTTTAAATTAACAAGTATATGAATTTACTTACAGATAAAAATAATAATAAGATACGATGAAAAATACTGGCTAATTTCTCCATACTGCTGCAAGTAGATCTATACTTTTTAAGAATTTATTTTCATTTCCTTATCAACATTAATGTTACATTATAAATGTTGGATTTCGCTGATCACGACTAACAATTTACGTTTCACTAATACCTGTACATAACCAATTTGGAAAATCTTTCCATAAAATACTAACAAATATAAGTAAGCAATAAATGCTCGCATTTTGTGAGACAAGGCCTGGTCTTTTAGACTATTCTGCACTTATTTCAAAACCTAATTCTCATCAAATAACAGAAATGTTATTCTAACTTTTTAATGATCTGTCTTGAATCATCTTACCACGGTGATTGTAAATGTTTCCTATGTATTTACCAATTTCCCTGTATCACATTTCTGTATCTAACTCATTCCGTTGCCAAGAAATACACTTCTATCAATGAATAAATTCTCTTTGTTCCAGTGTCATTTTTGTCCCACAAAATGCCTTTGCATTCACCAGACTGTCTTTCATATAGCACTATAGTAATCACTTTGACTCTCGGAATGTTTTCGTCATCCCTTGCTCATTTTTTTTCTCGTTTTAAGGTGATTTTATTCTATTTAAATATTTTCCTTTGTTCTTCATCGCCAATATTTAAAGTTACTATCATTGGATACGAGGCCAATATTGTGACGTCATTGAGGTCATGTGATGAACGCCCATATCTTGGTGACCTCCACCAGGTATTTGAACCGGAACTGACACACCCGGTGAGATCAATCCTATAAAGAAAAAATTACCATATGACTCTTCTATATGACTCTTCTACATCGCATAATTCAATCAACAACTTTAAGTGAACTCAAACAATATTTCAAACTGACAAAAAAGGAGGAAAAGCAGCCGATAAAAGATATATTTTTGTAAGATATAAGAAATAACAATACAGTCGATTTCCTTTACTAAATTAAAGTTAAATTATATTTACCAGTCGGAGACGCACCGTTATGCGTATTGTGAGTCACGTGACTTGGGATACTACTGGCCGCTGCAACAGCACTGCACGAGGATCTCGAGTAGGCACTGAGGGAAAGTGGGTCATAACTCCGTCCTGAGTAATCTGAAATTAAAATCAATTAAAATCATAATAGTATAACCAAAAATGCACTCCCTATCATTTATTTAAATGCAAGTATTTAAATGAACCCATGTTATTGTTTTGCAATCATATCTTCAATTACCTTGCATATTAATATATTCACCTTGTTGTTTTTTTTCCTTTGAATTCTTAGTTTATAGTCAGTAAATAGCAACAAACAAGACAATACGCTAACGAAAATGTATTATTTTATGTCTGAACCACAAAATAGCAACAAAGATGTGTAAAAACCCCTTCAATAAGCAATGTACAGGTCGAAATCCAAATCCAAACGGACATGTTTATGTGTAAACCCTCTCTTTAAATAGCATCATTCGAATCGAAACACAAAGTCGAACAAGTATACTTTCATTGAGCAACAAGCGGGTATATCGAGCTGAACAGGTATATCATCAATAAAAAAGCTATGTAAGATTAGAACTTTTTAAATGAAAAGGGAAATATAATGCTACCTGGAATCATACATGAATATGGTGAACTTGAAGATTGAAGACAAGACGGATTCGATGGCATATTGTTGTTCAGGGAATAATTCTGCACACTTGGCATTGCACTGTAATTTAAACAAAATATTATTATTTATAATTCTGTCAAAATTCAATTTCATTACATTGTTTTTGATTATATGCAATTATTGTTAACACTTATTTCATATCAAATAGTATAAATTAAAGTTGAATAATCATTAGAAATAAAAAATAAAAATATTCTCTAGAATAAAGTCATAATTCATGGAAAGCAAAGCTTATGTGCCTATGCAATTTTCGGAATGAGACGGTGGAGTGGAGTGCAATAGGGACAGCCAAACCTAAAATAAATTGATGGAAAAATCATCACAATGCGGTTTGACTCTTTTAAAAACAATGCTTATTACTTTTTAATCTCCCTAGCACCGCTTAAAAATCACATCTGAATGATTGCAAACGAAATATGCGTTTTTATATAATAGTATATAAAGTAAAAATAATCCGGAGAAAGCATTAATCACAACAAAATTACATGAAAATTGCAGACTCGTTTTGATTGAGTCTGTACATGAGGGATAATAAAAAAGTGCAACATCCCTCACGCCCCCTAGCACCGGCTTGAGCGGTACTCAAAACACCATATCTCTTAAAATCGTAAACGGTAAACAACATTTTTCTTACCTATATTGGTCTGGTGAACCCATTTGAGATATTGTCTGTAGAGATGGATACATGCTATTTGGGAATCCAGTATTTAGTGGATGGATACGAGATGAACCGTTCCCAGGATCTCTTCGTTGATTCCGAAGTTTTTCTTCCCGCCGCCATTTTGCGCGTCGATTTGAAAACCATACCTATATAACAGGAGTTTAAACATATTTTATTGCATCAAATATAGTTATGTCAAATATTATACAAATGATAAGTATTTAACAAAAAGCAAATGGGTTTTGCAACAAGTTCAACAGTAAATGCATTAAAGTTACATTGTCTTAAAACAAGAAAAAAGCAAACAACTTAACATTATCATTAAAATATGAGATAATATGTACTTAATTCGCGTATTAATATACATTTATACTCTGATCAAACGGAAAATACGAAGTTAAAAAAAGAATATGGTTAAAACTATAGAAACAATAAATAATCAACAATTTGATGGAAACAATCCAAATTTGCCACAAAATAATTAAAAACAACTCATTCTTTTTTTCAGGTACTTTGCTTTAAAAAGGCCATGGCTTTAAATATCTTTTATATGCAAATTTTGTAAATTTACCCAAATCATTCCTACTTACTTGTATTCTAGCTTCGGGAAGGTCTATTTTCTGTGCTAACCGTTCTCTTGCAAATACATCAGGATAATGCGTTCTCTCAAATTCTGTAATTAAAAACAATAAATAATATAAATAATAAACCACAATTAAAGACATCTTGATTTATATAAGTTAAGTTCATACAGAATTTATTTAAGTCCAGTTGATTATGAAGCTATAAAACTTAATATAGACATAATCGCGAAACTATTTTCGTAACTAACGAATAATGTTTCTTGCTCAAGGAAAAAACAGCATGCACATGGTGGGTATTGAACCCACCTAGCAGCAATATGTTAGTTACCTTACCTATATAAATCTGAATTTGTAATACAATTTGTTCGTGATGTAAATGTAAATAGATAAATCATAACTAAGTATATATAGACCTGCAATGAAACAGCTCTTTTCATAACTTAAAGAAAATATAAATTATATATATTCTAAATTCATTTTTTATGCATAAGTTTTTGTGATATTTATGTTACTAATTATTTTATTGTTTTGATACTATCTGAATGTGCAAAAAGTATGATAATATAAATGTGAAATTTAGACAAAATAAGTAATTGGGTATTTGGAGTTTCAATGGAAATGAATGATTAAAAATTGAGGTAAATGAGAACAATATGTATTTTAATAATAATAATAATAATAATAATAATAATTATTATAATAATAATGATAATAAAAAGAGAGGAAAGAGAAAAATCTCATGACATAAATAAACATTTATTTTTTCTATTTTTTTTTCTCGGTAATTCAAATTATACTTTAAGAATAACAAAAAAAAAAAAGAACTAACAGAAAAATAACAAAATGAAAAAAAAATTTTTTTATTATCACTTCATTTTAAACTTTGGACACGCCTTCAATGCGCAAACATAAATCAGAAATACTTCAATTCTCTAAAAGAAAAACAGACTTAAGAAATATTAGAAGTTTATAAGCTCTTTGTCTAACAGTGCAACTGACGTTGTTATAATCAGATTGGACCATTGTTAGGTTAGGGTCACCTTTCATGTTTTCCAATTCCGTAAACTTCTCTGACCCGTAACGCACCAATATACGTCGTATTGCTCAAATACTGATTGGCGACAATGCCCAAATGGTAAACTGAGTCGTTCACCTGTGTCTATTCTACTAACAGCGTCTTTAGGCGGATTCACCGATATGTCTTTGGGAACTTTGACAACATTAATTACTGTTTGATTTATGACTTAAGCTAGTTGCACCGTTTGTAAAGAACTAAAGGGCATTGAGTTTCGGATGGTTTAACCATATCAATTGATTTTTTTTCTTATCACGATTAAACTTGTTTGTTTTTTTTAAACTATCAGGGGAAAATATGTTTAGATTTTTGTCTTTTAAAGTTAATCGAATGATAAGATCTGTTGAGTAATAAATTTTTTACTTAATTGATGTAATAATACAAAAGTTTTACAGGCGTTAAATGTGAATATTTTGTGAGAAAAAAAATATGTGTAGGAATTACGGATTCTGAATGTACATGCATATCATTTTAGATGCAGTACGGCATGATTAGCAGACATCATATATTTATTCACATGAAACCAAAATAAATAACAATTTATAAGCAAATACATATATTTTTTTAAACAAAATTTCCATTTTTATTTTTTGTGAATAATATATCAAAGTTTGAAATATCAAACATATATTTTCGTCAATAAAGACAGAAATAAAAGAAATAATTTAGATGAAAGGAATTTTAGAAATAAAATGAATGAAAATGGTATAAATATTTTACCTTTTTCTAAAGCTTCTATTTGCGATGCTGTAAATGAAGTTCTATTCCTCTGTAATTTTCTCTTAAGGCGCATGCGCATTTGTTCATCATTTTCTGACCCTTTGGCACCATCGCTATGGTTACTGTCTGAACTGGAGTTTCCGTCATTATCTGAATTAAAACAGATATTTTCATTTTTTATTCAATGTCTATACTGCAGATGGCATTGAGTGATAAGGTACTTCTTTCGATTTTTTTGTCTATTGTAAGATGTACCTTCACTGACTATTTTTTCACATCAGTATGATTAAAAGCCATTTACGCCTCTAAAATTGACATTTTTTATATTTGTTTTTCATTAGACAAATTTCGGAAATATTATATTCATTAAAATATATTTAACAATAACTGTAACAAATCAAAACGAACATTTGTTAACTTACCGATTTAAAAGAGAAATAAAAATGCCTGAAAAATGCAACCGAAAATTGGTTTTAGAAGAAAAAACATACGGACAGAAATGTTAAAACTTTGTGAATGTTTACATATTGAAATGAACTACATCCGTCCATTATCAGCCTTTTATGTTTTATAATTTAAACCAAAAATTTCGAACACTTTTGTCTCAAACACATGCACTGAAAAGGAATTGCAAAATATTTCAAGGAAGTTGATTTTATTTCGTTTTGTTATTAATTCGTTGAGTAATAAATACTTGAAATTTTAACCAGAAAGGTTCACATTAGTAACTGAATACTAATCATATCATCAACTGTCTGTTTATTTTGTAATTTGAAAATAAAATCAGCTTCCTGTGTTAGGTTGAAACCTTTGCTTCAAAAGCTCTCGGAGTATGTTGAGGGCAAATTTTATTGCTTCTACCTGAATTACTGAGCAATATTTCAGCGATCATTTATATGACGATATTGTAAGATAATATGGTATTGCCCTATAATCTGGAACAAATTAAAGGTTATAGTTTCTCCGGCGTTGTGTTTACTTTTTTAATATGATCGTCATCAAAACGCGCGTGCATTTTGTTGTCAATGATTATACATTAGACGCGTGCATCATGCTGTCGATGCTCTAAGATTTAATTGATGGGGAGTTCTAAAATTACATTGTACAATTAAAATTTTCAGTTTAATTCCAGTTAACATTCCACGCGGACGTTTGATTGACTTTGAAGTGTTTAAGCATAGGCTTTCGATGTTGTAAAGTGTATGAAGAAATACTTAATTTGCTTTTAATATAAAAGTTTAGGTAATATTTTGATAAAGTTTTCTTGTTGTTACTTGTTTACGCTGATTTCAACAATAAACTTTTGCTTTATATTTGAAACAAAGGCACAAAGCCAGTTTGTCTATAATTTAAAACATATTTGAATCACTTAATTGCCGACAAATATTTATATCAATTTCAAGCAAGAAGTATTTTTTATTCAGTGAAATTCCACTACACTCTGTCTGCTATTTTGTTTTTGTTCCCATATGAACCATGGAGTTCATAACGTTTAAAGCAATTTTATTTTTTTGTCCACGTTTCACTTGCCTTTGTAATTTCAAATAATAATTTTGTAATGTCCCATATAAATTAATGTAATAATGGGTGTTATGTTAGGGAAACTCGAGTTAATGACGACCTGTATTGTTTGTGCGTTGGCCACGGAGAATATGTCCAACCATTAAATATTCCCGCTACAGTGACCAGCAAAGGTCAGTTAGGGACACCTAACCTTTTGTAAGCAATACATAATATCAACACTTAAGTATAATGGTATTAACGCACGTAGTTTGTATGAAATTGCTAAAAGGTCCACGTGATGACCCATATTCACCCTTTTGAATTACTAGATTTATGAGTTAGTGCCTGAAATGGACACTCGAATTTTATTACCCTTAGGACATCTTACAGCTGAGCTTTCACATAGTTTTATTTTTAACTTTGTATAACCCTTTTGGACAAGCGGCTTTGAAACACATGTTCATTTTGTATTTTTATTGCTTTTCACTGAAATATGATTTGCCAATAAACATGGTTTTCCCTTTTATATTTTAACCTTTTTCAGAATATTTTTGAAGTCACGTAACGATAGTGAACAGTTTTTTAGATAGTTTATCCATGTTTACGTACTTTACACCTAATTCATATTCACCTTATTTAAATATTATTTACCTTATAAATTACATCCTCTTCACACATTATTTATAATGTTACAGAACAATACATCAATCTCATTTTATTTCCCGACTGGATAAAAACCAGATTTGGAGATTCGAAAAAAATCTTAATCTGGGAGAGCTTCATGTAAATAGTGTTCTCCTTAACAAAAAAGGCCAAAACACGGCGCTGCTAGATGACGTGCTTTTCGAAAAAAAAGATTAGTGAACCTCCTGAAAAGACGAACAGACATTCTGGCGACACTGTTACAATTACGTGAAACGTTTTCATTCCGAAAATGTATTCATCTTTTTCATCATTTAAGTTCTGAAGTGCAGCCGCTTTTCCGTAATCTGTTTAATTTTCAATGCGACAAACTTTAATTGAGTCTACAATGGGCAGTGATAGCGACATATCACTTGTTATTACACTATTTGGAGAGCTCGGGATGCGTTTGTTACATTGAGTGAAGACTTAAACGCTTGCCTTGACGCTGCCGTTAGTGAAGATATTGCATTCTTGAGTGCTAATAATAAGGATTTATTTACAATTGATTCGGATAAAGAGATTGTTTTGCATACCAATTGGCGGTGTAACATTATGTTATATAACAAACAGTAACGTCTTGGTAGAAATATTTCCTTTGATGAATCAATTTCAAATGTTAAGGGTTATGATGCATTCACTTAAAAGGTACTTTGCAGAGACCGAGCAAATAATGTGTAGGATCTAGATTTAAAAGGATTACTTTATTATAAAGTTTTTTTTGGTACAAAATATTTGCAGCTTCATTCAATTACTTCTCTAACAAGATCTAATTATGAATCAATTCAATAAAACACAAAGTTGAAAACCAAAAAATAGGGAGTGTTTATGGCAGTTGATTTAGAAATCGTATTTGTTAAAACAATAGAAAATTAACTTACGTTTCTTTTCTATATCAAGATGACTTGGAGGGGGTTGATGGTAAGAGCTTGTTCCTATACTATGCATGCCCATGTTTGGGTACCAGGGGTTGGGTCTTGCCCAAGCTTGACCGTTGAGAAGACCTAATTTATCGTACATGCTGCCTTGACCTATCACCTTTTGGTTTTCTGTTGCTAGGTTGCGTAACACCCTGTTTATAGAAGACACCTGGAATAGACATTGAAAATTGTGTTATAGTATAGTAGTAAATAATATAGTAAAACACAGTTAAAGCTTCACTCCTACAGACGAGTTCAATCTTTTAAACAAAATAAACTGAAGAAAAATATATATATAAAAGCAAGGTAAAAATATTGATAATCAAAAGAACACTTTTAAAATAAAGGACAGGTTATTCAGCGCGTTACTAACAGACTCACATAATACAAGTTAATTATAATTATTAACGTATAATAGGCAATTTATAAGGATATAAAGTAAATGAAGATAACTAAACTTATTTTTTATTTTTATATTTTTTATATCGGACGTTTATGTATAAGAGCAAAGTCTTAATTTTTCATATGAATTTTAGCATAAATCTGTAAGAGATTGCTTTAAACATTATCTAAACCTTATCTGTTATTTTTTTTTTAATTCGAAAAGTGAAAAAGTAAAATAGAGAAATAAAATGCAAGACTTAATTAAAACTTTACAATCAGATATTTATAATCTTTGGAAAAAGACAAAACAACAACAACAATCACACAAAAAAAAAACAAAGAAAAAAAAAAAAAAAAAAACAACAAAAAACAAGGATATCCATTAAAAAAATAATGACAAAATGAAATATGTACCAGAAAATTAAAATTGGAAATTATGTTTTGACTAAATGTGTTCATATGTTCCTATCAGAGACAATGTCATGTGCACAATCTATGCCATTTATGTCCGATTTCAGCGGTATTAAATCATTATAAACACTACTGTTGAGGCAACCAAGTTGCTTTATTACAGTAGTTTAAATTCAGATTTAACATATTAATGCGCCTCTAGAATTTCACAAAATGTTTAGAACATATATTTTATCAACATATACTTTAACTCAATGTATAATTCATTGAATTATTATTTTCTGACAAAATGAGAGATATTTTCTTGCTTGAGTTTTGTAAACTAAAGCGTGTATATCAATTTGAAATTTTTACTGATTCAGTTTCTATGTTACCCTGGAGAAAATAACTCGTTGTTGAGTAATGTGGAGGGATGCTTTGTTCAATTTCAGTAATGTTGCTAATGTTGTAAATGTCAAAAGAAATCCCCTTATACTATTATTACTCAAAATCCCAATGGAGAAAGCTAGTTGATCATTTTAGAATGTAGTTGAAAAAACTAGATTTAGTCATTTTTCCAATGTTTCCGTTTTAGCATTTTGGTTCTTTTTAAAGTTAATTTTAGGAAATCATCATAATCTCCTTCATTTAATGTTTTTAATAAAATGTGTTTATTCATTTTGTTTGTTTATCTTTTAATACTACTTCGAACTTAATTTATATGTTTAAAGTAATTATATTTGATGTTTGACTAAATCAACATTTTAAAGGAAGATAGTTTTAACCTGAATTGTGATTATTTGATTAAGAATGCTTACTATTTACCAAGTGAACAACAAAATCAAAACATTTTCTTTTATGTTTGGTTTTTTGACAAAAATATTTTAATTAGACTTATTAAATTTTTATTGTTTTAAAAACAGTCAATTCAGATATAGATATTGATAATAATTAATTTCATATTAATGCAATAACACTATCAATTATAAAGATGCGAAAATGACAGTAAGAAAAGTAAAATAACAAAAATATATGATAACAATTATCAGTTATTAATCAAAAAGATAGAATAATAAGAAGAAAGATATATTCATTAATATTGATCACAGTCGAATAAATAAATACATTCATGCATAAAAGAACATATGTTCATAGTCAATATCATTCGAAAGAGTAATCACTCAGAACAAACAAAATTAATATTTAGAAAATAACGATTTCAAGTCTAAACATATTTACAACTAGAAAAAATGAGACAGTACTTTGCAATTGATATGATCAGATCACTTAGTGTTTTGTACACGTTTTGAAAAAATAACAAATACTAAATAGCGCCGACATACGGGCCTAAATGTAAAATTGATAATCGGTTGGGATTGGATATTGAAAATGAAAATTATGTCTTAATTACCACTGAGCTAGGGTCAACAACTCTTTTCTCTCGTCAGAATCACAGATTCTAGATAAGGGATACGCGACATCAGATGTCGATAATAGAACGGTTCCAACTCGAGCTGCCCCTAAGAAATTCAGTGAGGCGAAATAATTCTTGTTTTTCAAGAACTTCGGCAGATGGGTGATTTGATAATTAGTGTAACAGTTCGAGAGAAAACAAGACTCGGAGTTTTGAAAGCAGACTTAAGCAGCATTCGACACAAAACTGATTTATATTTTTCCAAATAAAAAAAAACTAGCAATTATATTATTTCTAAAACACATCCTTTGTTTTCAATGGTGATTGATAAAAATTATTTCAGAAAATATGTCTCCGTGCAAGAATAATTGCACGACCAAGAAAATAAAAAAGATCAACCCGTCAAAACTTTTGTCGTAATTAACAATAAAAATTCTAATTGAAAAAATCGAGCCATTCGTTTCACGATTACAAATTTGGCAATCGTGTTTCTACTTTAGAAGATTATCATCATTAGGTCAGTCGGATCTTGTTGACCTATGGTCAATTTGATCTTATTACCTTTTTATATTTGTTGCAATATCATATGCTGACAATTGTATGAAATTGAACTTTTAAATTAAAATCATATTCATTTCAGTTAATCAAAAACATGGGCCAATTCATTCTAGCAGTAGCAAAAACACTGCTGTTTGAGAGAATGTGGTGACGTTCTATTTGCTTAAACATAACCGCTGTGTGTAGTAGTGTTTGTCAACTCTTGACAATATTTGCTTTACAATTTGTCGAATGGGTCTAAGAAGTGTTGAGACATTCTTCTACCCCTGTAATGAGTCAATCATCTCAAATTTTTAGTGTCTCTTTTCTTCCCCCGAAAATAGAGGCCGAAGTCAAAATTCCGCCATATGGTATGATATTGAAGTATTACTCGAGTATGGTCACTTGTGATGAACAATTGATATTATAGGGGAATGAGCTTCGGCCTTTAGACGTTCTGCAATGAAGTGGCTGACTTTGGAGCCCTCAGCCGATGGTAAACGCTAGCCGCCATAGAAGCTATTGGAAACTGAGCTTTTCGATCAATCCTGTTGAAGGCGATTCAGTTTGCTTAATGAAAGGTAAAAATGTCTTTAATTCAAGCATTCGTCGTCATAGAGAACATGTAGAATTTCTATAGACCAATGTTGGTCCGTACAAGTAATTTGACGTTGACATGGAAAAACTTCATTTAATTAATTTTCCCATATACCGATAAATGAGTTTCAGAAGTTGGGACATACGTCCCACATTTGTAGATCTGTCAAATTTAACCACATATTTTGAATTTATTTAATATCTTTTCCGACGTCTTTGTTCCGAGAGCTTACGTAAAAGGCTTTCTCTTCAGTAACGCCGGTATTAAAATATTTCCACGTTTTATAACGTAACAATATACGCTAAATGAAAGTGACATCTGGTATTATTATATCTTTGTTGATGCATTTATATTGTAAGAGTCCCATTTACATCAAAAGCTCAAAACAATTTAATGTTTTTTTCATACTTATATCGGTCACATTGTTCTCCGGTGTCTTTACAATATTTCTGGCTTTCGACCAAACCGTAACACGAGCCCAGGAATTTACTACGAGAAAATATAAAACAATTTGTAAATCGTACAGGAGAATGGGATAATGAATTATACGGCTTCAAAATGCCCATGGAGGTAAATAATGGTAAATTACGATCTAATAAATAAATAAATTTGAGAGAATTATTTTATAATGACTTAACCTGCTGTAGCTATTCATTCATTTCATTCGGAAAATTTGTGTGTGTGTTTTTTACACATAAGAAATTGTATGTAAATTATTTGAAAAACAAACAGGTAAGCATTATTTACTTATATTTAATATAGTAAAAAGACTTTTTCTCATTTAAAATTCAACACTATAAAATCATTTGTATTCTCTTTTTCATAAAAAATATTTTTAGACATTTTATGCTTTTAGTTAAGTTTATTCAATGAAAAAAATGTTTTGAAAAATTATTTCATTATTTGTATTATTGATTTCACTTGATTTTATAGACAATGTTAATGTATAATATAGTTTGTTATTGTACTGATATATCTAAAATACCATAAGTTAAAGAAAATGTTGAATTGTATTTCCCATTGTTATTGATCTAATCCTTCATACATGTATTAAAATCATCCACAAAGTGAGTATCAAAATATATCAACGTTCTGTCTCTGAATCGTGGCTTTTCAACAATTTCTTATCTATTTCTTTTAACAGATGACATTTAATGTAGTTGATAAAAATAGCTTTTATCAAAAACATCTGTTAGAAGAATTAATGTAGCAGAAAATGAATAATTATTTGTGACAACTTAAAAACCAACAATAATAAATGTATTCGGAACCTTTGTACGATTATGTTATAGTATAAATTTATACTACTAAAATAAATAAATAAAAATAAATAAATAAATAAATAAATAAAATTGCATTTGCTCATAACATCATTTGAAAAAAAACAAAACACGTAGATTAAGTGAATTACAGTATTACGATATTTAATTGCAGATCATCAAAATTGTAAAACATTTTTAAAACTCATGTGATCAAAAAAGTAACTGAAATAATCAGATAATAAGCTGTGAATAGGTATTTCTGCAACTCTTTCATGTAAAAATTTAACCTTAACTTTACTTCTGGAACCGAAGTGATTGGCCTTTTCCATCAGTATAGAGCCAGGTCAACATGCAAACCGATGCTGTCTGACCAGGGTCTATACTGTTTGGTGGACAAATTTCAATTAACATCGTGATATCCTTAAAATTGATAATAAACACTTAAACATATGGAAGGGATAAGTCCATTTAAGAAAATCAGTAGGTTAAGTTTCACCAACTAGAAATAATTGCAAAGTGCCATTTTGAAACTGGAAATACTTGCAGTGTGCCATTTTGAAACTGGAAATTATTGCAATGTGTCTTGTAAAAAACTAAAAATACTTGCAATGTGCCATGTTGAAACAGGAAAGACTTGCAATGTGCCATATTAAAACTGGAAATACTTGCAATGTGCCATTTTGGAACTGAAAATACTTGCAATGTGCCATGCAAAACTCTAAACAGTAAGACAATCGAAGATAAAGATATTCTTGTTATAATTAATGGGCACCTGGGTGACACGCTGTTACTATGCAATATTTTCTAAGAATACCCTCATTCTTACAGAGCCAGCTCACTGAAGAGGATGATTTAATTTATTAAATTTTCTTCTTCACTGCTTTTGCCGTTAGAAATTGGCAAAAAGATGAGAATTTGGCTCAAAGATATTTGTCAGACAAGACAGTGATGGTCTCAATTATGGAATTATGGAAATCATTAGTCTGTTGTGCTGAATATAAACAATTTTGTATGTTTTATCTTTAAGGAAAATAAAGGAGAAAAAAAAACATCAAAAAAGATAAACCAGAAACATCAACATACTGATAAGCCCTTCTTTGAGTGCAGATAATAATACCTTAGTATGTGAAAGGATTATTTTTTTCATATATCTATTTAAAAAACAACAACTAAAAAACATAAATAATGGGTGATGGATATAATTATGACTTATTGTAAATTTGCTAGATTTCATTCTCTAATATCATGATGAAAGAAACACATCTTCAAAATCCATAAAATATTTTGAAAAGATCTTTAAATCATAGCAAAAATGTTGACTGATAAAACATTTAAATGCTACTATGTAAAACGCTATCTTAACTAATTTCAAATAGTTTTATCCTTTTTAAGAAACGCTAACCATACAGTGGTCAATCTTTTGTCATTTTCATTGCAAGACAGTTTACACTGCAATATGTTAACAATGGCATTTGAATCAACTTGAAACTTCATTAATGAACATACTCTAAATCTGATATTGTTATTTTTTTCTTTTTTAATACTCTAAATTTCATGATGCTATGAATAAAGTACTATTTACTAGACTCCTTAACTACTATGTATACAGACACCAATTTAAAAATAATTGTGTATATTTATAAACTATAATGCAAATCCTTCTGTAATTAGTTAACATCAGGAATGTAAATTACTTTTAAATCGAGTAAGTTGTACATAGGTTATGACGTCTCAGGAAAAACGTATTTTTAATACTGCAATTCAATGACATTTAAATCGTTGGCAAAGGGAAAACTAAGCCATTTACACAACTCAATGTAGCCATTTTCTCACCAAATGCGATAAATATAATATCCCTTACGATTTCATACATTCCCCTATTAATATTTATGCTCTTTGATGTTTTAACGGCATTGTGTTCAGCGAGGCAGATGCCGTGCCGTATATTGAGTGAAGAAAGGACAACACCGTAGGGTGTCCCGCGCTTTACTGAGGAGCTTGAAATACACGCTGTTTAAACTGTATAGCAATGGGAAGAGTTTTCAATGGCCGCCACTGTGAGTAAACTGATTAGTAAATGGTTTGTCATCACCCTTATTCTAGTTTGAATTAATTGATTTTAAAATATCGATGATTTATTTTTCCAGCATTACCTCTGTAAATTGCCTTCGTTATCTATAAATAGCAGCTAAGAGGTGCATGGATTGAAATGTTTAAGGATTCTGGTATGCTTTGTTACACACACCAAATTGTGAAGTGTTAAGACGCATTCCTAATTTCAATGAAATATCCTTTGGTTGTTTTCAAACCAAATGACCATTTTTGAGCAAGCAATAGTATTCAAAAGGAAGGAATATTCTGACAATATTAATGCATATATTTTTTTCGGATTCTTAATTCAAATATATATTAGGACTCTTTCACTGTCCATGATACATGCCTTCCTTCTACATTTTCATTCCCTTTACATCTAATATACAATAACTAAACTTACTGGTATGCCAAACAGAGCATTACATCAACAAAAAGCAAGATATATTCGAACCAAGACTCAAGTGCACTACACATAGACCAATTAATTCATTACAAAAGACACTCACACTTGGAATATTTTCTTGATTACAGACACCATCAGCTAGCAGTCGGTCTCTTATCTCCCATGCAAATATTGAGGGACACTCTCTTTTATATTGCGCAACATGTCTACAAACGTCTCCTGTAGCGACACGTGGTTTACTTCCACCTATTGCACGTGGTCTTATAGAACCGGTTTCGTAATAACGTCCAAGAATTTTACTAACACACCCATTTGATACTTGTAAAATTCTAGAAATGTCACATGGTCTTGCTCCACTGTGGGCCAACTCTACAATCCTTTGTCTAGTTGAATCCGGAAGAGGGCGACCGTTTACAAACATTCCTCCAAGCTGGTTAATTCCACTATGACCTGAAAAAGAAATACAATATCAGAATATATACATATTATATGTCATGAGTACCTAATAGTGAAATAAACACTGACAAACAGTTTGTGGTATTAAGTAAAGGTAAGTGTATTATTCTACAATGTAAAAAAATTTAGAACTAGATAAGATTCATAAAATGAGGTTTTTATGTGAAATATAATCATTTGAAATCCCACACATGTTTACCTAACCCTGATATTTAAGATATAAGAATTGTTTTCTAAAATGTTAGACATCAAGAGATGCTATGATAAACGAGCTTTTAGCTACTAGCTTACAAGGAATATCCATTATTTTTGTAGGTTTCCATTTGTATATCAACAAGATGAGCGGATTTTATGCCTTTTAATACATAAGAGGAATCAACACAGTGCATGACAATCAGTAGACAATGTGCAATGGAATCATGAATGCATTTCATTCCGAACGTCTTAGAGGAATCATTACTGAACAAAAGATGGTTACATGTAAACAGAATGGAAATAATATTCTGAGGTCTTTTAAATAAACCACTGTATCATGTTTGTAAACCTCGATTCGAATTTATTTCAAACTGAATCGCATGCCATTAAACTGATAATACACACTTTAAAAATGCACCACTCTTTGTTTTAATATAACCACATATTCACTTTACTAGCTTTACGTTTTCGTTTGTTTTTAAATTAAAACAAAGAACAATTATGAGGATTGCCGTTTTCTTGGTTGTATGGTAAAGAACCGACTATAAATAAATACAATGTCGACATTACACAGTTCAGTCACGATATGCCCATTTCTAAAACGGCAAACATGAAAGGCACACCAAAGGAAACATGGCAACCTTTGACCCTGCAATTTTGTCACGTGACAAAGGACAGTGACGTCTAAATATTGTTTATAACAAGAAAAGTCTGACAGGTTAGCCGTAAATCATTCATTAATGTGCCCGAGGAATTGTCCACTTCTGTCAGAGGTAGCGTGCTACATGCGAGTATCAATTAATTCATTTATAAAGAAAAAAGTGAAGAGGCATGTGTAGATTCGTCTATCTCTTTGTTTTATTGACATACTGTGTTATTTATTCTTATCTATTCTACATCCCCATAATTCACTTGAAATTACTTTGATTTTCAAACCTATGTTACCTAATTTTCAAATAATTTGCAATATACTTATGTTTTAAAATCAACTTGTTTTATCATTTTGGTGTCAACTTGCTATGCTTTTCATGAAACGGATCAACTGTAGTGTTTAAGATGAGAAAATCAAATGTCAAAGACTAATATAGATGGCACTTATTCCAGTAACTCAAATTTCATGATAATATGAAGCGTATGATAAAATTTGATAATTTCATTAGATTCGTTTTAGTTATCTTCTTTTCAAAAACACTGTCCAATATTATAAAAAGTTTACGAAACGTCCTTCAGAATAATAAAAATCTACTAAAAATTGAAAAACAATATTATCTATACTGTAGAAGATATGAATAGACCTAAAGGTACATAACAATATACCTTGTTTGTTCTACACTGTAAAATATTAACTCCGATTGATTAAGTTTATTTTGTTATTTTCTAAAAGAGTATCAGTACGCTTTCACCTTCAATAAGTGATCCATGAAGTCTTTTATATACTGCTTTTGGATTGAATCCTTTTTTTCTATGTCATTAATATCTATTTCCGGTTACCATCAGGTAGCGTTCTTTGATACTTTGCCAATTAGTTTCAGGCAATATGAAAAATGTTTCTGCATCAGGATAGATTTCCGTTTGGACGGTGTAGACTGACAGAATAGACTGGGAGATGCATTAAATAGATCAGAAGCTCGATCTACGGCAAGACAAGATAATGAAATAATACCAATTGACACCAGTCAGTTTGTAAGACAACGATACAGTATCATCATTTATAAAGAGTATTTCAGCGTCTTTGAACCTCGTATGCAAAGGTCGGACTGAACCATTAGACTTGTTCATAAACGGTAAAGAAAACAAATCGTTTTTGTAACATACACTAAACAATGCTTTTGGAGTAAAAAGAAACAAAAAAAAAAATAACTAAACAAACAACTGACAAATGTTAAGATTTATAATTTTTGGCTTTGCTTTATTTTGCTCAGGTGCATTTGTAAATCATGGTCGCATTTATTATAATTACAATAAGATGGTTTGAGTAATATTTTCTTAACAGTATGCAGCCCCGGAAAGGTTGGATATTGGAATAAGTTTAAAGGTAAGTACCAGAGAAATATTTCCTCATTTAAAAATACAAAATAGTTTTGGATCATGCGTTTAGTTGTTTTAAACAAATAGTGTTAATTTAGACTTGTCCAAAGTACTTCAAAAATTTTATGCAATCATAATTAGTTTGGTCATTATTTCCTGTTAAAAAAGAACATTCCGATTGAAATGTCAACATGACAGTAAAATCCGTATCAATCTGACAATCAATCAGACAATTCCGTCAAATACAACATAATTGTTTACTTGTTTGAATGTTATATGGAGAAGTGTAATATTACTTTAGAAACGTTATCGTTAATTCATGTATTCCAAATCCAATAACTTATTTAAATACAGATGACGATCTGAGAGCATTGAATCTGGTATCACTTGGCAGAGATGTGAGCGGTGATCCCCTCTCTAGAGCATAAATTGACGATTGTCCTCGTAAAAGCAATCCATGTCAAACACAGAAAAGAGTACCATATCAGCCATACCAGATATATCAGTTATCCCCCCTTCTATATTGATTTCTTTTTTAATGCGGCTTAATTTGTCGTTGTGTTTCAAGCTAAACTTCCAACCGCCCGATTACACTTTCTAAATTGTTCGCGACTATCTCCATTTGACGAGATTGATAGTGCTGTTACATTCTTGTCAACATTTAATTTCATTTGAAGAGGGATTATGTCTCTTTTTCTAACAGAAGATTTTTGTTCTTGTATCTTGACAGACAGTTCTAAGAAAATTTCGTAAAGATTATGAATTAAACAACACTACTGAAAGAAAGCTTAAAAGGGTCCATAATGTAGTAAATTAGATACTTTACAATAATTAATTTTCTATATCATAACTTCCTCCGACATATTTGTATTCTTTCACGTATCCATTTTTTTCAAAACAAACTAATACTTCTATATTAAAATATGTAATAAGTCATTTTAAACAATACCAAATTATTGCTGAATAAAATGGCAAGTAAAATAAATATATGATCGCTAACTTTAAAAAGCAATTACTTTGACTTATTCGTCATGAAGAAAATATAAATTAGTTTGCCATGTGGCACCGCCCCAGAAGTCAATTAACTTAAACATCTTGTTCATCTTCAAATCATGAAATAATTAACAATTGTGTACACGAATTGCTAAAGAACCTGCAAATAAGAATCTTGTAAAGCTCTGATCTACATTTGATAAGCCAGTTCATTCAATAGCAAAATCATTTATATTTCTATTCCTCTATTCCCTTTTAAATTCGAAAGTCCATTTTGAAACGTGTTTCCTTCTTGATGAAAATGTGAGGTTTTTTTTTTTGGAATATACACAAAAATGTTGCAGTGAATTAGTATTTATGGATTGTTTATAACGTCAATTCTTTTGTTATTTTATTGTTGTTTATATTTCCTCTATTCCCGTTCATTTTCAAACGTGTTTTCATCTTAATGAATATGCAAGAAAATGCTGCAGTTAATTAATGTTGTACTATGATTATTATTACATTGATTGTATATAACGTCAATTCTTTTTTGTGTGTGTTTTTTGTTGTTTTTGATGATTTTCTGACAAAATGAATCTTTTTTTAGATATTACAAGATGAAAAACAAGGCAAGAAAATAACTTCGGACGTACCTCGTTTCGACCTTGCTTTCTTGCTAAGGCTGTTCACACCTCCGTTCTCACCACTAGAAGAGTCCTCCTCTGAAAGGTACAATAACATCATCTCTAAGGTTAATTAAAAAGTATCAATATTTGAAATCTTACTTGAAATTCTGTCTTTGTTTATCTGATCATTTGGCAGCTCTATGTTAGAAATAGTGAATTTAAAATGATGTGAAATTAGTCGGCATGTAACAATGAAACGTGCTTTACGGGACATGCACCTCTTGCAACAAGTATGCGAAAATCGAGTATTTCTTTCAGTGATAAAAACTTCACAAGAAACTGTAACGTTTTTTTTTTCACTTAAATGTTTAGCTTTTATTTAATTAACATATCTGACTTGAATATTTAAGAAAGCAACTTTTTGTTTATGTTATATTAGTTTTTGTAACATTTAGTGATAACATATGACTTTCATTTCTTTAAATATTTATTCATTCCATGAGATGTGTTTTCAATATCCAAATATTTTTTTTGAAGAAATTGTTGTGAGAAAACTAAATAACAAATAATCATTTTAATTGATTTTTAGAAATAGTTTAGTGTTTGTAATGTAATATTAAATCTAATAATTAAGAAATTATTGACATCGGTTTCGAGAATATAGAAAACGTAAGATGACAAAAATATATATAAATGTTTCTAAATGTTACTCTTTGCTTTAATTGTATATAAGTCGTGTAAAAACCTTAATTTAGCAAAACAACCAGATGTAGTTGACATTTTTAAACAATAATGCTTTACAAAAACACTCATGTTTGCTTTATAAAATTCTAAAATGTCTAGGCATGTCATGGTGGCATGTCATTCCAATTATTTCACTTGTTAGTTTTTGATTAAAATCCTGAAATAAAAAAGGCTACCGTACGTAAAAAACATCAATTCCGTTGACGTGCTAGTGAAAGCCTTGTTTTAAGCTACCGTAAAGCAATGACTATAGACAATGAGCATTGGACGGTGCATCTGCTTTTAATGTCAGGATAAAAAATACATTTTTTTCAAACAATCGATCTTTCACAATGTTTACTATTTTGAAATCGTTATACTTCTTTCTATTTATTAGAAAAGAAACTTTGCATCTGATAATTATGTTTTAAGACTGGTTAGTATTATAATGCTTGGAATAATAGCTACATTTATAGAGTTAAAAAGGTGAACGCTTACTTTTGTTGTATGTTTTTTTATTTATCAAAGACTAGGATATGGAAAAGGAATTTGCAATTTTTCAAATTATACAATTATGATAATATGAAGTTTATAATTCTTTGACCTAAATTATTGAAAAGGATATTTTATAGATAAGAAACCACAAAAAATAAACAATAAAGTGTGACACTCCGGTAGCAGTAAGTGTAATTATCCTAATATAAATATATATTCAGTAAATGAAATTTTTATTATCTTTTCTTATAATAATTCAAAGGTTTCAATGATAATGGTTGGATGTTTATTACACGATTTAAATACTGTTAAAATGAACTATTAGTTCAGTGCCCTTTTGGGTACCTTGTCGGTGCGCCTGGGGTATGTCGGGGGAGGGGGTTGCGTTCTGTGAACGTCGCCTTTCAACTTAAAAATGTTTCCTATTTTTTCTATGATTTTTATAAAACAGTTATCACATAAAATATACAAAAATCTTACACTCGTTTACGACTTGAAATTTTAGAAAGTAAATACAAGATTAAAATTTAAGCTGTAATTCTCAGAATACATAATCAATAATCTTTGATATAAAGTGGTTTGTGCAAGAACGCTACATGATTTATGTACCTCAAATTCCTGTTTTCATTACTTTGTATTGATGATACCTGATAGGGAAGGATACAGTTACCATGGGCAAAAAGGCCACTGCATTTTATTTTTGAGTTTTAAAATTCGTTTTTTTTTTTGTTAATGTATATATTTAACATAGTGTATTCATTTTATATATAACTACATGTTGCAGATATTTGATCAAAATTAGATACACTGTTATGCAAAAAAAAATTTTATTAATTGTTTCTTGAGTAAATTCTAAAATGTACCAATTTCTTTTCTTAATATTCCTGTAAAATCATTTTATACCATAGTGTTATTATGATGCTTTCTTTATATAATCTATTAATTATATTTCATGATAAAAGTGAAAAATGATGTATATAAATAGAATTTCATTAACAAATGCTAAAGTTTCCCTTAACAGGGCAACAAGTTAAGAGTTAAGAATTATAGGCGCTTACTTGTTTGTGTTGTTGTTTTTTTTTTAAATTTTATTTGCCGGAAAAGGTAGGGAGGGAAAAATGATTCAATTTCTTTTATTTTAACAAGTCTGTTAAGATAAAGATATGAATGAAAACTTTGTGTGTATGTTATATGTCTTCACGGTTTTGAGAATATGATTTTTTTTTTGTATTTTTGTTTTGTTAAAAGCATTATTTTCCTCCTTTGAATAGCCACTGGTATTGATTATAATAGATTGTTTACGTTACAAGTTATATTTTAAAAAAGTAAACATATACACATTAAAACACTGTATAACATGATATGATAATTTTGTAAAATATAATGAAATTTATTTTAAAATCTGTTTAATTTAAAGATACTAAAGAAGAAGAAGAAGAAGTGAACAGTGTTAATTATGTGACGTAATGAATGACGTGTAGATTTTGTAGATAACCGACATGACAATTATTGCAATTTCTCTTCCATTTTTGATAAATTTTAAATAAATAGGTAATATCCAAATTAAATCGTCACAAAAGCAAATACTATTGATTTTTGTTATTGACTTTTGCTACCGATTTCAACCTGGTGTAAAAAGAAAAGTTTAATACTGCAACACGCATGAAGAAAAGCTGTTTGCATATATACCACTTTTTATGAAATCTTCAATATGTCAATTCTTAAATGAATCGATGAAAGTGGAAATCTATAATAAATGACAAGATTTTCATTATGTTTATAACAATAAACATTAAACAGTTAATTAAAAATGATAATTATTAGTTATAAATGACGTTGTGTATTTGACATGATTTATATGTAACCAAGTACAAATGTATATATATATATAATATATATATATATATATATATATATATATATATATATATATATATATATATATATATATATATATATATATATATATATATATATATATATATATACCTGTATCGCATTGTTTAAACGTCTTCACAAGGATCATATGTGTTATTGGTTTTAGAAAACTGTCCGTAAATGTTATTTACATTAAGATGAAACATTTCACATTAATGGCTTGTAAAGATGCTAGACAGCTGTTGTCTCAGACAAAAATACCCATTGGAAAAAACACACCAGCAGCTTGTCAGGATGATATACTTGTAGATATATGTAAAATGCACGTGAGATTCGTGCAATTTTATTGCTCTCTCTTGTCATTCTACAGAGAGCATTTCTGACTTCGATCATATCGATCTTTTTATCCCGGTATTTCAACTCATAGGTAATGTGTCGCATATAACATTATATACATATAATCTGATAATGAATAAATGAATATATTGTTCAAACAAATCTCATAAGGAAGTGAGATAATGTTAAATATTATAACTCTACGTCTATGTGTATGACCGTGTATGCTCTTCTGAAGACATGCGTGCGTATGCGTGCATTCCTAACACCCAAGGTCAAGGAAACATCATTTTAGGGCTAAACATTCGAGTTTTACAAAGAGGTATTTTTTAACTGAAATAACTCTTATCTACTAGTTATTTAAAATGACCAAGGGGTATAGCAATTACCTTAACATATAAGATTACAATAACACTTGAGATATAGGTCAAGGTCAAGGTCATTTCTAATAAACAATATCTTGGGACTCTATAGAAAGGCAAAAAGTAAAAATAAAACACCAGGTAAATAAAGATTTTAATTGTAAGCATTACAATGTTTCTGTTTTATTTTTGTAATGTATATTTTTACGTTAATGTATGAAACAACAAAATTATTGTTTCAAACAAAATGCTTATTTGACAAGAAACAAAGACATTTCTGTACCTAACAGACAATATTACAGCATCTCTTGTCATATCAATGTTTTCATTTTTGTTTTCTCAAATAACATTATGTTCTTGCGCTTCATAAGTATGATATTTATGTTATCGTTATTCAAATAGTGTCACATTATAATGTTTGAAATAAAGACAACTGCATATCAAATATATAAATACGATTGACTTTGTTTAATTATTTTAATATTAGAAATTAAATAAAAATATATTTAAGAAAACACAGAAATAATAAAATAATTTAGCATAAGTAAGTTTTATGATCATAAAAAAATGGTAGTTTGATACGTTTTACTGAATATTGAAAAGTAAAATCTCTTTACTATATAATAATTCATTTTAGTATTTAATCTAAAATATTTTATGCATGATATTCATTGATTTGATGTTGTTTTTTTTTATCTCTAATCGCCTTACTAGTTATTTACTTTAATATTATTTAGATAATATAATGACATTATCAATATCATGAATAATAAAGATAAATAATAATTTTGTTATGATTGTGATTTTTACTGCTATGTTTTTATATCTTATTTTCATTACAAATGTTCAACAAAATTACCATTTAATTATTTCTTTTTTTTTGTAACTCCTTGAATGTGATATTTTGATACAGACAAAGATTTTATGTTTATTTCATTATTTTTTTAAATTAAAACTAAAATTAAAATTGTAATTTCCTGCCTTTAAAATAAATAACAATTATAACCTTAAACAGAGTACATATAAATCATATAATAATTTGTAATAAAAAAAAGTCGGCACAATTTATTACTTAGAAATTCATAATAATATGTTGTCAGGTTTTATGCACGACAACATATATTAAATATAATGCCAGAAGCATCTCTATTTTATAATTTTCACGTACCACACAGGGTTTTTTGATGAATTTGGCATGACACAATCCATGTGTTATTGTCAAACTTATTTGCAAACCCTGTTTTACATGTTTGAAAATATAAAGAAAACAACCGGAAATTTGTGTGTTTACAAGTTCTATAAATCAAACAGCATACATAATTCCGCAAAGACATTTTGCATCGGCCAATATCGTAATATATCTGACATCTTAACATTTTATACGCGATTTTACATGTTCAATACCGATTTAAATTCCACATAAAATGTCGTTATACAGAGATGATTAAATTTTCCCGAGCGCGCAAGTAATAAAATTGAAGAGACTTAGGAAACATCCGAAGGTACTATGAAACGAGCTGAATTAATTGTATTGAAGATTAGGGTGCAATGACGCCGTACAATTAATACTGTTTAGTTTTATGCTTAATAAAACTAGGGTATTTGTAAAATTAGCAAGTTTAAGCCCTCAGCCACGGCAAGGAAGTCTTATCGCGGCGGAATGAGCTCGGTTTGAGACATTTTAGGTCACTTTTCGGGATGAAATTTCCTCTTGCTGGAAATCCAGGGATAAGAATACAATTAGCAGAGGCTTTAAAGACGATTCCTATGAAAATGTATGAAGTTCGATCGGGGGAAGTGGAGAGATTGTGCGATAGAAACGCTGTTTTACAAACGTATTGTGATTCATTGAAAGGGAAATTGTTTTGCTTGTTATAGAATGTGTAAATGAGACTGCATTATTTTCATGATTTATATTCAACATAACAGTAAGAAGTTTCAAATAGCGTTATAGAAAATTTAAAATAATTATACTTTAATAAATATTTAAGACGCGTTTTTGCGGCATTATAATAAATGTATTGTTTTCAATTACATGTTCATACTTGTTCATATTGGTGTCATGTTTTATGTTCAATTTGCAGGTTCTAAAATTGTATTTAAACATTTATTATGTACAACAAAACACTGTTTAAACCAGCAGGAGAAATTCCTAAATTATATTTAGATTAGAAATGTCATCATTTTTAACAATATCATAGAAAATGAATAGATAGAAATAGGAGTCATTTACAAAACTGTAATATTTTTTCTGTTGAATTAATTGATAAAATATTTTGCTTAGCTATTGCAATGTGAGATATTCAAACAGTTCTAAACCTTCAACTATTGGAAAACAATCTCTCTGCAAGAAGGTGCATTTTTAAAAATTGATATACATTGTATATCAATAAAAACAAAAGAAAGATGAACAGATAAATATAAATGTGAAAAATAATCAATGACAGCTGCTATATCCAAGTAAAGATATTTTACAGAAAGCACTGGTGTTGATTTAATGTTGTTTTCCATGACACAAGACAAAAGAATTGATTTTATATACATGTATGGATATAATGAAACACACTGCGACAATTTAGCAATAACTTGACAAAAAAAGATGTATGTGTAATTATATCTTTAGAAAATAATCATAAATATTATGAAGCAAAAATATTAAACACATAAAAATTTGAAATAAGATTGTATGTTATAAACATTACTTACCCTTTGTTGAGGATAACTGTTTGTCTTCCATTGTGGACATTGTCATGAGTCTTATTTGATATTAAAGCCTCTCCTTATGATATAATTTATCTTCTCTAACTATTCCAAAACACCCTCCTCGCCGAAATATTCCGCCTTTCTTCTTACTGTCAAAAAATAAATTCAGCACATTCAAATAATAATCACAAAATAATTCATTTTGAAAAAATACATATACGCTGTCTTAACTTATCTCACAAAAATTAAAAAAATAGTATTTTTTATTATTTCCATTACATGTATATTTCGTTTGGTCATTTCGCTTAGCTGACCCGTATGCAAACGATGTTCAATGTTTTTTCTTCTTCTTTCCTCTATTGCCCTCATGCGACAGATGTTTTGAAATGTGTCTTTATTGGATTTTAAGCACGTAAGAACGGATTGTTATTCTTTCTATCAGATATCTGAAACTTTCAAATGTTCACTGCGTTAACTTAAGACATTTTATTTAAAAAATTTAATTTTCCAACAGCCTTTCAATGAATTTTATTCGCGTTTTTAGCGTACCATAGTATATGGTCAAAGGGATATAATCGGAGTCTTAAGCGTTTTAAAATGATATGTTTCTTTTTTTGTTTATGTCACAAAATCATCTGTTTTGTCGTTTTTTCACAGTATCCATGAAATACATGTTTTCTTTATCTATCATGAATGACTAGATATTATTATAAGTAATATCACATTAAATCACATTTTCGCATGGCTATAAAATCCAGAAATATACAGTTATTCCACTCCGATGGATAATTCAAATATGGTCTTTACAATTTGTCATTCTACGGTATGTGCGTTTGCCGGGCGAATGATATAATTAACATAGGTAGCGATTTTACCTCGTTGTAACGATCTTTGTGATTGGATACAGCGATTTTAATGTTTTACGCAGTCAATCAAATGAACGTAAATCGTCCCTGTTCGGTTAAATACCCAATCATGGACGGCCCGGGACCTCTGCTCAAGTTACATTATTTAAAGTATCACATGTATGGGAATAATATTTCTATGTATACATATATGTACATGTTGTCAATATTGAATTAAATGTTGCTGGTGATAACAAAACATATACACAATTTGTACAAAACTTTGCTGTTAGAAAACAAACAACTTTAATTAGTTATAGAAGTAAATGGAACAGAATATTTAGTCACACATAAACTGTCTGTGGTCCAAAGAAGACACGAACGCGTATTTCCTGTGTACAAAAGATATCAAATTCTAGATATCACTCGAGATAGACGTAACCGATATCATATTCTATGTAAAAATTTCAATGTCAGAAACAGCCATCTTCTGGAAGAAAAAAAGTTTCCCTACGTCTGGATTATTTTTGTTTATCACATTCTTTTCGTCTAAGTTTGTTTAGTTTGTTATTTCTATATACTTTTTTTTTGAATGTTTACACATATTGTTGTGCTTTTCTGCATACTATATGCATAATTCACAATTTATATTGGCATGTGAAATGCCCCGAGTATAAACACAACATATCTGATGGACTTTGTATTTTCATCAGCAATATATTTTACATTTAGATACATCTCGGAGTTATGAGTTATTGCAGAGCAGTTTGGGGATCCGATGTAGACATCTCAAACACACGCCAATCGTTCTATAGCTCATTTTGCCGGTTACAAGTTTAGTTACTAGTTAATTTCATCATCTTGATACGAAGTATTGTACTGTCTTTTATAAACATCAGACACTATTTTTATTGGGTTATAGTGATAAATGACATGTTCTGCGTTTAACACCTACAAGTTAATTGCAGAATTAAGAGTGATTTCCCCTTATTCTTTAAATCATACATTTCTAAATCAGTTCCTGTTAGAGTGTTCTAAATACATTAATCACAATATCAAAAGTTCCTTTGAATTAAGAAGTTTTCGCTTAAACGTGGAAGTTTCGATTGTTAATTAATTAAGCAATATAATCAATTTACATTGTGATGATTTCGTCATACTACCAGAACTCACTATAAAAAGCATTCATGTTAGACAAATACTAAAATAACCCTTTCTAGCTATACCAATATCTTCGAATTTGTTCTTCTGAAAATCTCCCTGTAATTCAAGATGATAACGATCCTTAATAGACGTTCGTCTGATATGTTAACCATTGCCTTGAGCAAAGATCTAATGGATGTTATAACTAAATGATAGGTGCAACCTCCTTTAACTTGAATACTTGTATTTTAGATGCTCTTCTTATTTCTGAACCTATTTATTTTATAATAGTAATCAACATAGCTCAGTGTATGATAGTTGTTAAGTTATCACTTTTCTCAATTGAGCCTTCAGTAGAGACTTGATTTTCCATGAGAGCAGTGTACAATTTGCAGCAATTACTTTAAGAGACGGCGATTAGGGAGTGTCGATAAATGCGAGTATTGGTAGACCTTTCATCGTACCCACTGCGAGGGGGAAATGCCTGAATTGCAAAAACGATCCAGGAAAGGTGCTTTTTGTAAACTGCCTATTATCACGTCTTCAAAAAATTGTGTTTATATCATCTCCTCATTAACTTGCTTTTAAGATATTTTTCATAATGTAGAATCAGCAGTGGACAATTTCATCACTTTAATAGCTCGTTCTTCTTTTCATTAACTATCCCTCTGAACTTTTTTCTTTGTAGTTTGTAGAAAAAGGGCAATGCTAATATATTAGGGAAATTATTATAGTACATGTATATAAAAATTGAATAATCACCATTAAAATGTTTTAATTATTTCGTTTATCATACAGACAAAAACATTTTATTGTAATATTTACCATATTTAAATCTTCAACTACCTGAAAAATACAGTTATAACATTACATCTGCAATTGAATTCGAAATATTATGTTCAGCATCATTTTAATTAGATATCTAAATGGATTTTATCCAGTTTCCGATTTTATAACTTTTATACAAAAAGGAACGCATTAAACAATATGATTTTACTCTAACACTGACATATAATTATTTAAATGATGTCATATATTGTTTATGTGGCATACAACAATGCTTTAAAAAAATAATACTTCATTATAGTGCATTGCAAGTAATAAAAAAAGCTTGCTTTAGTTACTTTTATGTTCACTTACTGCCACAAACATCAGTCTGTTTAAAATATATTAGTACCGGGCAAAAAATGAAAGAGTTTTTATTACATTATAAACATGTATCTTATAGAAAAAAAATGCATACGTATTGTAGAAATAGGATGTCATTTATCATTTGAAATAAAACAGTTTGAAATGCTTTTGATGTACTTTTAATGCTTTACTCGTGTTTGAATAACTTCGGTTGACCCGTGCCTTTGAAGATATATTTGTAGTGCTTAGAGGATAGATGTTTTGGCAGTTATAAAAAGTATAATATTTTCGCAGCAATGCTCAGCGTTCCTTGTATATCAAAGTTAAGTTCACCACCAGCTTGACACTTCCTAATAAATAGTTAATAGCTTTTTCATCTTAACATTGTAAATAGTACACAGTATTTTCACTGTCTTTATATTTTACTTCTAATATTTCTAAAAATATCAATTAACTTAAAAGGTTTTAACTAGTCTCTGTGGAAACATAAATAAAGTTTGCGAAGACATGTTTACATGTGTTTCTTTCATAAGACCAAGACAAAAAACTTCGCTCTATTATATTACGTCTTCAATTAAAAAAATAGACTTCTTAGACAAATTCATGCGCATCAAGTTATCTAGAAATGTTATCAGATATTTAATTCCGGCAACCACGAATTTCAATTCAAGAGTTTCCATCAAGTTTTAATGCTCCTTTTTTTAAATTCATCGTAACAATACACATGTACCTCTAGGGTAAATCCGTGTATAATTTTAATCTAGTGATAACATAGTATTATTGCTGTCGTGTTGTTATCACCTATACTGGCTAAAACTAGCCGATCACCTCCGGGCTAGTATCGCCTGTACGAGACATATGTCATTACATATCAGATCAAACTTTGCCGCCGCAAAATGTATGTTCTTACTTACAATTTTTTCCTTCTACTTTTAGATAGCTTAGTTTGCATATTGTCATTTATCCTAATAACATATATTTTTTGCCATCATATATTTGATTTTAATGATACTGATATTTCATATTATATAAAAACCGAGATAATAAAAATCATTCGTGTTAAATCTTATTATTTTTTTCAAAGCTGCAGCTGCAAAAGACGAAGGACTCCGAAACCCACAAAGAGAAAAAAAGAAACAAGTAAAACAAACACAAAAAAGTTTTGGTCCCAAATGCCACTGTTTCAAAATGACATATAATACTTTGTCACGCAATATCGAAGGCCATCTTTCCTGTCTTTAGAACATTTCAGAAGACGACAAGAATGCCAAATTATACTTTCATTGGTATAAATCATAAAAAGAATGGTTAAGACATGAAGTTAGCAATAGATTCGACCAGGCTTTGTCTCTGTATTGAACTTAAAATTGGCATGATTTGTAGAGTATATAATGATGTACTTCTTCTTAGGAATTTCTGCTAAACAGTTACAAAATACAACCTAACATAGTTCGACTCGATGTATTCTTTTTTTAAAATTTCGAAACGAAGTTATTGTATGATTGAATTTTAATCAAAAAGACTGATTTAAAATTAATCTTAAATTTTGTTGTTAGTATCTTTAATCAGTTATTGTGCGCGTTTGATTAATAAAACAAACATTACATTTGAATCCGGAGAAAAATGATGTTATCATCATCATCATTATCATCATCATAATCATCATCAATAATAGTGTATTCAACCAAATTTGATCGATTAGAATATGTTTTTGATTATCTTTTTTAATTCATGTAATTTTTACAAAACAACACCATTTGTGAATGATAAGTTATGTTTTATTTATATTCTTTATATTTATCAAAATGTATATATGATAGAAAAGATTGTTTTAGTGGATTCCTATCGTTTTATTATATAAGTTATATATTTTGTCACTTTCATATTATCTCCTAAAAGAATGTATGTATTTCACTTTATTTTCATTAAGTATTAACACATTCTGTGGTTATGGAATGAATACAAGTTTTAAAGAGTTTATTTCTCCTTAGTGGGGATTATTATTCTTTCATATTATTCTTATTTCATACAATACACACTTGCTAATATTAAAGAAATAAACCAGAGTATTACAGAAAGTGGATTAAAATGTTATTATCGCGGCTCTTAAAAGAATTCTCAACAAGGGCAGTTTTAAAAGTGTCCAGTTCTTAAGGGAATATTACGCACTTGACTTTATATGTTGCATTTAACAATAACAGGTCTATTGCAAAGATCACTGTAGATAAGAGGTTTCCTAGCCACTTGTAAATTACAGTTCATTAAATACTTATCTAGATAGAAATTAAATGAACGGTTCTAAAACCAATTAACGAAAAACGTATTTATTTATTAATATTGTACTGAATGATTTATGCGTTTGTGACTGTTTATAAATAAAAGATATCTTAGTTGTTTTTCTTTATTTTTTTAAAGAAGTCTTAGTAGTTTTATATAATATTTTTGATGTTATTGCTTAAGACTAATTCTATAATTTGAATACATGTTTTTCATACGAATTGGGTATCTACTTCTTGTAATTTTACTAGCTGCAGGTTTTAAAGATGTATGTTATAATCAGGGCAAAATGACTGATGCATAAAATAAACGTATTAGAGGGAGCCTTGTATTTTATCTTCATTACGAATAATATTTTTTAAAAAATCCGTCGCCATACTGTATGACATTTACGTTTCAAATATGCCTACATCAGGGCTAAATGAATTCATGTTAAACTGTTTTTAAAACAGCCGAACAATACTGAGTGATCATATTACACACGTACACAATCAAGCCTGAATATAAGTTACAAAATTGCATTCTGGGAGAAGGTTCGGTACTGGTTGTGATTTAACGCAAATTAAGTTTGTTTACTGGGGCGTTTAGCTAAATAATTAGCAGACGACAAATTGCATTAATTTCTTTATCCAACTGAAAAATGTATATTGTTCATATTTAGATGTAAATAAGAAATATACTTACATAAATGTGGAAAGAACTTAATCCTTTTATTTTCTTTTTTGTTCACATGAATTAAATTCACTTTAAAAAAAACTAACTCTTAAAAGTCCAAACTTTCTGCACAGTTAAATTAATGAAGTCTGTAATCACTCATATTTGTTTGTAATTGCAAATATTTCAGAAGGCATTAAAGAAACTTTAAAATCATAAAGCTAGGCAATAATGATAAATCGTCTATGAAAATGTTACACATGAACTGCGAATATTCTTATCGTTTTAATCGCGTAAGCAATAACGTGTACGGGATCCACGGTGGTCCTTGCTTGCCAATGAACACGATTTCCCGGACGATTTCTTCTTCCACTACTTTGTTTTATTACACGACGTAATTGCTGATCACGCCTAAAATCAGAAGCATCATTTCAACCATAAAAGCTCGCGATATGCCTAGCGTTAAGACTCCGCCTCTGGGCGGAGTTTACAACGCGAGCGTCCAATAGCTTACATTTGCAAGTGTAACACGATCTTAGCCACAAGCGATATACAAAGATTGTTTTTCGAACAAGTGTATATAGAAAACACAGATAATAAACATGGATATTATACAGTTTAATATGAGATTTTATTGCGCATTTACGAACATTGATATACGGAAAAAGTTTTCCCTAATGAGTGGCTTTAAAAGTACGAATCGAATAGTTAGTTTAAAAAAACTGATATGATGTACTGAACCTAGAGACGATACGCCGTATCGATCATTCTTAAAAAATACTTCTTTTGACGAAATCGCTTCTGTAACGTCTTGTTTTTTTTAAGATCATGATTCAAGATGATGTTTTGTAATAGTTATTTATGTTTCATATTATACTTTCTCTCAAAAATAGTAATTATTGATTAATATGATTTGCATACTAAACTAACGCTCACATTTTTAACATGATAATGTAGCTTTTTTACTTTTTTAAAATAAATGATGCCGGTACGGAATATTTGGGTGAATACTTGTGTAAAAATCGGCATGCTGTTTTCGTTCGAACGAAACCGTCGCCATATGCAAGCATTCAATATTTTAAGAAAGGTACAAAGTGCATTAACATACTGAAGGAGGCGGTGTGTATAAGTGAAATATTATTTCAGGCATGATTATTTGCGTAGTTCTTTTTTTTTAAAATTGATCCGATATCATTAAACGCAGTGACGAGCATATTTTTATTGAAATTACGCTTGTTTTTTTTCACCATGTAATTGCGCAAGTAAATGGACTTTCAAGGTCGATGCAAGTGGATTCTAAAATCGGACTCAGTTTCATGGAAAGCTTTTTCATATCATTTCACGTCAATTTGTATAAAAAGATATATTTATGGGACTGACTGACATTGTCTATTGTTTACAATGAGATTTTCTGTATGGATTAATTTCACTATGGAGATTTGCTATGGCATAATTGTTTCTAGATAACAACACTTTTATAACAATGATGCATAAATCATGCACTTATTTTTTCTCTCTTCTAATTGATTGTAAAAAGTACACAAGCGAAGATGTAAAAACTTGTTTATTGCCAGCGCATCAGCAACAGCTTCTGAAAGCTGCAAGCCTCCAGATGAGTCAAAATATATTTTGACTTCTTTTTGACAATTTTCATATATTTTAAGTACTGGTTGTAATCTGTAAATTACTACATATGTTTACTTGACAAACTTTTACTCTTAGAAACATTTTTTTTTGTATGATAATTAACATAAATCTGGAGGCATGCTGCGTTTTTTTTTTGCAATTTCAGACTGGTGGTTTAAACTGAATAGAATAATACAAAACATGTAAATATTATGTTTTAAATATAATAAAAAACATAATATAAGCATATGATATGATATAATATGATATAATATAATATGATATGACATGATAGATATGATATGATATGATATGATATGATATGATAACTTCTTTACAATTCATTATGCATGTATAATGAATATATAATATAATATATATAAATAATATAATATAATATAAATATATAATATATTAAATGTTTTAATATAACAGAAAAGCACAGTTATATAATATATCGTATATAATATAATATAATAATATAATATTAATATATAATATAATATAAAATATATAATATAATATAATATAATAAAATATAAATGTCGTTTGCATAACAATAACATAACGATAAGATACGATTTAAATGAAAATCTAAACACTGTGGCTTTTCTGTTATAAGACGATTTGAAACAACATTATAAATTCTGGTTTGATATACACAACTTTGATATATTGTTAAAATGCTTACAGCATGTCTTTAAATGCTGAAATTTTATTTCGTAATTATAAAATACTCACTTTTATAAACAACACAATATTCCTGAATTTTAAGACTGTAAAAAATCATCACTGTCCGTATTGTTGTGACGTTTGTCAATCAAATATGGTATTTGTCGTCAGTTTTCACGCTGTGTCTACAAGACAACAGTGCTTGATATTTTACTAATAAAACACCAACCCGTGACCTGCTGAAAACTGGAGTGACAAGACTTTGCAACCACTATACTGATCTTTGTTGTATTTTAATATTAAAAAACCTTAAAATTTTGACCGACTGTTCCAAATTCAATTGAGGTCAGATCCATTACACAACTTCAGAAGGTAAAAGTTACATGAATTCATCAAGCAAGCAAACAAGCACACATTGAATTGATGTTACTTATATAAAAATAAGAAGCCGTCACCATGCTTGAGTTTTTAAGTAACTATCATCACAATGTTTATATACACAGATTCTTGAACATCTGATTGATATACATATATCTTCCAAATATCCATTTCTTTAAAATTCACTTTAAAATGTCAGCAAATATTGTAACCTTTTACAGGAAGCTTGCGCCAGGCAACAAGCATATGTAAAACAAGAAAATACACAATTAAAATATCCGTGTTTACACGCCCCTATGTATTTCAATGTTTACAATATTCACGAAACATGTCTACCTTACAAAGCTAGAAGGAAACCCGAAAAATCACTATTAATGTCCCTAAAGTGCTAGACCACAATTAGCTAAAATGTTTAAAAGCACTGTTTTCTCGCAAATGTCATCAAAACACAACGGTGTTGGAAACAATATGTTGTAAATATCACTGAAGCTACTGGCAAGCACTTCTCTGAATTATTAAGGCAGAAAACTGCCGAGTGTTTTGTGAAATGTCATCAAAGTGGAATACTCCTAAATAATTTCTAGCTCAGAGTTTAGAATTATTATTGTTTTCTTAACACAAACAGGGAGAGAATCTACGACACTTTTATTTAAAAAACATCTTTATCATTATTTGTTAAGAAACATAAGGAATATTTGAACTTAAACAAAGGAACAACTACAATAAAAACTTCTAAAGACTTGATTTATATTTACCATAACTTAATTTCCTCTTGTTCAAAGATTTTTAAAATATGACTGACTTTTTTACGCAATGCGCAAAAGAAACTAGGCAGAAATATTCAAGATATTCATAAATTATTAAAGAAATGCTTTGTAAATCTTGCAAACACCCACTTATCATGTTTCTTTTACGAGCGAAATAAAGTGGTATGTTACGAGAGAGGGAGACAATGAGTTCATCTAGGATTATGGCCGATACACCAAGCTTGATCTTTAATCAACAGCAACATTACAATAGAAACATCGTCACTGAAAAGAATCCTTCAATCAAGGAAAAGAAATATACAGCACTGCAACATAATTTTCACGAGATACTTATTTAAAACATATTAATTTTGGATTTAAAAAGAGAGAAAGAAAACAAGCAAATAAACAAACAAATACAACAAAAAAGCACAAAAATAATAGAAAATAACAACAAAAACAACTACAAAAAAGAAGAAAAGAAACAACAACGCGTTAAAAACTTTAAAACACAAATACCAAAATATAACATATATCAGATTATCTTTATCGATAGATTTAGTTCCTAAATTAATAAATATAATTTATATAATTTAATGCTTAGTTATTTATGTCGACCAAAAACATAGTAGATATCAAACAATACTAAAGACCAATGTACGAAACCTTTTTTGATATATTTTTTTGATTTAAAATTTCTTATTTCATTTTACATATTGATGACATCATAAAGTTGGTAAAGTAAATAAACAAAAACTAAAGATAAAATTATAACACACTGACAATTATGAAGTTATATTTCAAACAACATTTCAAAAAAAAGAAGGAAAAAAATAACATGAATTTTATTAAAAAGCATAAATATTCCGACAGTGAAAATATCCAGCTATGTATATAAAACAAAATAAAGATACCGCAAAGTGTCTATAATATAAGCGAATATAAGAAATAAATAATACAAAGCATATAAAGATAACAAAAGGTCAATAATAAAGATTATAAAAAGTAGAACAAAACAATACCAATAATAACAAATTAACTAAACCAGTAATAAACCGTTAATCGAAACAAACGGAACACTATGAAGATAAATAAAACGTACATTCGTTGCTGATATTTCTATGTAAATTAGACAATTAGGAAATAAAGTATATTTATCATAATATACATCAGTAGGTAAATATCTCGTTGATGGAGATAATAACATTGTAAGATGCCAACAATTTATCTGATTAACACTTAACAAATTATTCAACATAATTCTAACCGTACCGCCTAGGGATATTTATTCAAACCACTTGTGTCTACAATGTCCGTAAATGAATAGCCATCATGTTAGTCAGCTATGGTGACCGTACACATAGTTTCACTATTTCTGACTGTCTGCACAACTACTCTAATAAAATCATAAATAATGAAAAAGCGAAGACATAGAATTATATACCGAAAGCAAATATATACATAGCTGATTTGGTCACTTTTGTGTGGACAAAATACTAGCAATATTCCTCATAAATAATTAACTATCGCGCTGAAATTCTAAATACACGAAAATATCAAGTTCAAGAACGTTCCCATCACATGGCCAATATGTGGACTAAGTGGAATAAAATGGACAATTGCTTTTCTTCGAGTAATTTAATGAATAAGGGAGCTAAAAATCAAAACCGAAACAATAGCAAATTATAGCGTCTGAAAAATCTAAGATAAAAAGAAAATAAATAAATAAATAAATAAATATGATTTAGCAATAAAATATTGTATACAGCTATCACTATTTTAGTTAAATATACCGGGTTCTAGCAAGATAATATACAAGTATGTGCTTTTATGTTTTAATGTGTGAATAACAATTCAAAGTCCTGTACAAATTCGCGTATATCCCTGATTTTGATGACCATAAAAATAAAAAATTGAAAAGTACATTCAGTCAAACAGTTGCGGAATATTAAAATTAAAACTGACTCGATT